AGGACGCCACGCCACAGCAGCGGCCTAGAGGCCAGAACCGGGATGCCCCTCAGCCCTATGAACTCAACACAGCCATCAACTGCAGGGATGAGGTGGTATCTCCCCTTCCAACTGCCCTGCAGGGTTCCACAGCCTCCCTTTCAGTCCCTGCAGCTGCCTCAGTTACCCCTGCACCCCCATCCTCCTCCTCTCGACATCGCAAACGTCGCAGGACTTCCAGCAAGTCAGAGGCAGGGGCCAGGAGTGGAGGCCAGGGTCCCAAGGAAAAGGGCCGAGGGAGTGGGGGAGGTCGGCACCACCATCCTCTACCTGCAGCTGGCTTCAAAAAGCAACAACGCAAGTTCCAGTATGGGAATTATTGCAAGTACTATGGGTACCGCAATCCTTCCTGTGAGGATGGGCGCCTTCGGGTGTTGAAGCCTGAGTGGTTTCGGGGCCGGGACGTCCTAGATCTGGGCTGCAATGTGGGCCATCTGACCCTAAGCATTGCCTGCAAGTGGGGCCCATCGCGCATGGTGGGCCTGGATATCGATGCCCGGCTCATCCACTCCGCCCGCCAGAACATCCGACACTACCTGTCTGAGGAGTTGCGTCTCCCACCCCAGACTCCTGAGGGGGACCCAGGGGCAGAGGGTGGGGAAGGGACCACCACCATCCGTAAGAGAAGCTGCTTCCCAGCCTCGCTGACAGCCAGCCGAGGTCCCATTGCTGCACCCCAAGTGCCCCTGGATGGAGCGGACACATCAGTCTTCCCCAACAATGTTGTCTTCGTCACGGTAAGGAGGTCTAAGAACCAGCTCCTCAAGAAAAGGGTCTGAATTGTCAGTGAGTGCCTGCACAGGGTGTCTGTCCCTGCCTGGAACCTGGGAAAAGTGGGGGCTCTAACTTTAGGTGTTTAATCCTGGGTACCATTCTCATGGCTACACAGTTCTCTTTCCCAAGATAATGGGGTGACTCCTTTTGCCCTGCTCCCAGCCTGGGCCATAATCCAACCTTCCCAGGAGCTGCTGCTACTGCTCACTAGAGGATTTTTTTTTTTTTCTTCCTCCTTATTTTAGGTTTTCGTTTGAGAGTTTCCACAGAAATTGTTTTGTAACATTAGTTATTTTTCACAACATGTCAACCTTTTCTTCATGTTCTGGTTGTTCTGCTTCCAGTACTCTAGTTTCCCTGCTCCCTTAGATCCTCATGTTGCTTTAGAATAAATGTTGACCTCAGGCCTCATGCAGGTGGTTTTTCAGTAAAGCGTCAGTCTTACAGGTAACATTTGTGTGTCACTTTGCCATTTCACTAAAAGGTGATCTCAGGCTGGTTTTGGTTCAAAGATTAAAGAGTGTCTCAGAGAGTCCTCTGGTCGCAACTGGTCCAGTTAGTCTAGTCTTTGCTAAGAACTTGTGTTCAACGTTTTTCTCCCTTTCTATCAGGATGACCTGTTGTGACCCCAGTGAGAACAGTAAGTGGTGGTAGGACCACCTAATTCATCTTATCTTAGGGTTCACTAGGGGATTTGATTTGATTTGATCAAGTTGGAAACTTGTCCTCAAACCCACTGAAGGGATGGGTGTCAGGCACGGCATGTTTTTTGGGGGGTGAGTGGAGGGGTGACAGGATTACGGTATACAGCAGACTGATATTTACAGTTTCTGACCTAGTATGTATCAGTTGCTTTTGTTGTTTTAAAGAATGTCACTGGTCAGAAACCCAAATGGCTTAGCCTTAGATAGACTCCAGAGAGTGTCATCTGTTGCAGAGGGCTTGTCCCTTCACTGCACATAAACCCACTGCCATAGAGTGACTCATAGTGACCCTGAAGGACAGTAGAACTGCACCGTAGGGCTCCCCAGGCTGTAGATCTTTATGGAAGCAGACTGCCACATCCTTCTCCCACAGAGTGAGTGGTGGGTTCAAACCACCAACCCTTCAGTTAGCAGCCAAGTGCTTTAACAACTGCGCCAGCAGAGCTCCTTTCGATGTAATCCTTATCAAAGCCTCCAGGTGTGCTGTCTGCAGGACTAGTTAGCACTGGATTACGCTAAGCCTGGAAGAATGGACTTCTAGGTTTCCTAAAGGTTGCTGTTCATTTCTCTGGGGAGTCACCGTGCTTAAGGTTTGTAGCGTGGGAATGAGTACTGGATAGGGTCTTGGGAGAACGCTGGCATTCTCTATTTGCAGTTTGACCCCACTTTCGAAGATCTGTTGGATACTTTGCTCAATTTAAAAATTACCCAAGCTCCCTTTTTGTGTGTTTAGGTTACCACGAGTACGAGGCCGGAGTAGGAAGCTATAAAGAGAAAACGGGAATCTGAGAGCACTATATGGGAGTTAGTGTGAGGAGTGTCAGAAGATTGTGACCAGGGGCTAAAGTGCGGCTGCAGAACTTTTTAGAGGCTGCAAAGTGGGTTGTGGGGGGACAGTGGTTCTTTTAATCCCTCTCTTGACCTCACTCCCAACTCCTGCCCCCAGGGTAACTATGTGCTGGATCGAGATGAGCTGGTAGAGGCCCAGACACCCGAGTATGATGTGGTGCTCTGCCTCAGCCTCACCAAGTGGGTCCATCTGAACTGGGGCGACGAGGGGCTGAAGCGCATGTTCCGCCGCATCTACCGGCACCTGCGTCCTGGGGGCATCCTGGTCCTTGAGCCTCAACCCTGGTCGTCCTATGGCAAGAGAAAGACACTCACGGTGAGTTAGGTTTTGGTGGAAATGGGGGCTCACCTTCCTTTGAGACAAGAAAGGTTTATAGAAGGGCAGCAGAGGGGACCTCCTGAACAAGGAGGTGAAGGGGCTCTCTGGGTGGGCATCATTCTTGGCCGAGGGAGGAGAGAGCAAGCTCAAGTGGTCCTGTGCCTTTCTAGGAAACAATCTACAAGAACTACTACCGAATCCAGCTGAAGCCAGAGCAGTTCAGTTCCTACCTGACGTCCCCAGCAGTGGGCTTCTCCAGCTGTGAGCTGGTGGCCACGCCCCACAGCACCTCCAAAGGTAAGGTTGGCCTGCTTCCTTGGGACAGGGAGGGCGGCAGGTCCTGGCTGAGATGGTGCAGACTGTGCAGCATGCTGACGAGGTCCTGCCAGCCCTTCCTGACTGTACTCTCTCCATTCAGGTTTCCAGCGTCCTGTGTACCTGTTCCACAAGGCCCGTGCCCCCAGCCACTAAGTGGCCTCCTGAACAAAAAGTGTGAAGAAGCTGCCCGCTGCTTCTAAGGACCTGGGGAAAGAGGAAGGTATCCCGGGGTCTTTCCTTTCTGGCTCCAAAAATAGTTTCCTTTCTTGGATCTGCAGAGAAAGCTTGTCCTCTGTTGCTGCCTCAGCCTCCTCCCTACACCTCTGGTACCCAAGCAGCAGGCCCTGCCGGGCTGGAGTTACCATCATCTCTCCCCGCCAGCCTGCCGGGCTGGATGGCATGGACTGTTGGCTGACTGTTCTCCTAGAGCACAGGAGGTGGGAATATCAAATTCTCTAGCCTTCTCCTCCTGTTCTCCCAAGGAGAGATTCCCATTTCTCCTCGGCCCTTGTCCCCAGCTGCATTTCAGTGGACCACGCACGGATAAATGGACTGAGGGTTTGAGGGGGAAGTTTGGCAGGGAGGCACGCAGGTACTGTGAAAATCCTTCCCTCTGCTGTCCCCCATTAGGAGAAGGGATTGGGTTTTGAATGTGAGAACAGCACAATAAACTTGATGTTTAAGGCAGTGGCCCTATACTTGTGTCTGGCCCTTTCTAGCTAATGGGAAAGGGACTGGCACCTCTCGGGAGAACCTGTCCTTCCTTTTTGCTCGTACTGCAGTCTTAAGAAGACAACATGTTTTTCAGTGGTTGGGAAGACTGAAATGCTACTCGCATCAATACGCAGGTCTACCCAGCCCTAGTTGGGAAAAAAGAGTGTAATACAAACTTTGATGTAAAAATTCAAGGAAAAATTCCAGTTTCCCTCCCCAAAATACCCATTGACAAATTTTTTGATGGGAGCTCTGAGACTAACCTTGGAACAGTTAACGGTGGAGTTGGAGTGGAGCTAGAAAAAGGTATTTTAGAACAGAGCCACCAACCTGCTCTAGGTCCATGCATCCCCTCTCCTTTTTGGACTGGGGAATCAGATTTATACAGTTTATTCAGGTGCATTTCCGTGGCTGCACATTTGCTGAACAAATACTGAGCACTCTTGTGTCAGGTGTAGATAAGACGGACAAGTAAGGTTCTTAAAGGTAATAGCAGAGAATTTCAGTAACTCATTGCAGGTGGCTGCCTTGCAGGCTCTTTGAGGTGGGAGGTGAGTGGAGCAAAGGAATGAGCATAACGTCATTAAAAACAAAGGTGGTGCTGTGACTCACTAGGAAGAGGCAGTTGGGGGCAGAAACCACCACCAAGCCAGTGGGCATGGGGTTAATTCCTACTCATTTCCACCCTACCCAGAGTCACAAGTGCTGGTGGTGAAGTGGTTAAGACATTTGGCTGTTAACCAAAAGGGCAGTGGTTCAAACCCACCAGCTGCTCCAGGAAGAAAGATGGGGTGGCCTGCTTCCATAATGCTTTACAGCCTTGGAAACCCAATGGGGGTCACTTACGAGTTGGAGTCAACTCAGTGGCTGTGGGGTTTTTTGTGTCAAGACTAGAACTGCACTTGAGCGTTTTCAGGGCTGTCATCTTTCAGTAGATGGCCAGGCTTTTCTTCTGAGCACCTCTGAGTAGGTTCAAACCACCAACCTTCCAGTTAGTAGCAAAACTGACAGCCTACCCAAAAGGCTAGGTAGAGAGGAAGGTGTTTAAACTGATTGGGAAGGTGTTTTCCACTTGCCATCCCTTCACCAAGTTCCTAAAAAGAGGGCCAAAAATTCAATGTGGAGGCAGCTTTCAACCTGAAGCTTAGTGGGCCAGCTCCTGGAAGGTTAGTCCCATCTTAGGGATCCCAAGAAGTGTTCATTTGTTAGCAAAACCACTTTATTCCAGGGGGGTAGGGGGTGTCACACAAAAACATGAACTTGCATCCAGGGATCTGCCAGGGCTAAGTTTCCCATCGCCTCAATGTCCGATACATGAGGAAAGTATCCTCTGAAGGCCGGGGCCGCAGTTGAAGGCGGAGAGGCGGCAAGCCATCCAGGGTCAGGTGTGGAGATTCGTAAAACAACGTTTCTGGGTCACAGAGAATGGTCATGTCTGGCCCTGCTCCAGATGGCTCCTGTTGAAGTTGGGACCCAAAATAAGGTTACACCGCCGGGAAGGAGCAGAAGCCTTGGCCGCGGAAGAGAAGGGCGAGGGGAAGCCCAAGCCCCCAATCTCACCTTCGGGGGCGGGGCTCGGGCCTGCGGCGGGAGGAAAGCCAACTTCTCCCTGAGCGCTGCGTTCAGAACCTGTTCCTCCGGCACCTGCAGGCTCACCAGGTCCCGGAAGAGGCGCCTGGATCGGGGTACGTTCAGTCCTGAGACCGCAGAGGGGGCGGAGATGAGCGGCGCCCGTCACCCCCACTCCCGGCTGGCCGCCTGCAGCCCGTCCTCACCCTCGGCAACGCTCTCCTCCAGGCCGCAGCGGGTCTGGAACGACTTTCTCAGATGTTCCTCCACGGCCTTCGCAGCGTCAAACTGGCCCTCGGCAGCGGCTCGCGCAGCTTGCAGCTCGAGGCCTAAGGCCAGGGTGCTCTGAAGCGCCGGCGCCCCTAGCTCCTGCTGCGCCGCGAACTTCTCGCTCGGGACAGCGGTCGCCGGCAGGGGCTCGGATCGGCTAGGGGAAGTCGGCGCCAGGCGGAATCGGACCTGGAAGCAGAGGGCAGGGCTGTGAAGAGGTGCGCGCGGGGCTGTCGGCGGGCTAGGGGCACCAGCTGGCACTCAGCTCACCTGCTTCCCTTTCCTACCCCCGCTCCGTCGGCCCGCCCGCCCCTTCCGCCGCCCGGGGCTGCAGCTCGGCGGCTCGGGGCTCTCGGCCCGCGAGCTCGGGCTCAGGCTCAGGTCCAGGCCGGGCTCGGGCACTGGGGCTCGGGGCTCCGAGGCTCGAGGCACTGGTGGTGGCCCCGGGGCCGCCACGGCCTCTTCTTCCGCCGACTCCAGTTCTGACTCCCCATAGCCCATCATCTTGGCCTTGCTACAGGGGTGCGGGGGGCGGGGGGGTCGCAAGAGTTGTGAAACAGACTGTGCCCCTCCTCTCCCAGACGCCACTACCGGAAACTGTTATCCTTTATCCAAGAGGGCGGAGAAAACAGCCCCAGCCACACCTCATTGGTGCTGCCGATAGAGTCATTTCCTCTGCTCGGCCCCCAGCTTATCTCCTGGCTTCCGCCCCGCGGAACCTTGGCACCGCCCCCTAAGCCTTGGTTTTAGAGCTGGTGCACGTTGAAGCCCTACGGGTCCCCACCGGGACCATGCTCTTTCTCAGACTTACGGTATGGAGTCCTCGTTTGGCGTGTGTTACTCCTCCCTCTCGAGTTGCCCAACGGCGCACCTTCAACTAAACGGTCCTGTGTCCTCCCATTTGGACCACCCCATTCTTTGCCTCCAGATCACCTCCGGGTGTTCCGTCGCCTCCGAACTCAGAAGGGAACCTCTTTCCAAGATGAGTCGGGGCGGGCTCCCTCCTAGAACTCCGGCGAAGGAAGTTGCCCGAGGAGTGACTGCTTCATCCTTTGTGACTTACTTTTTCTTCCTAAAAATATTCATCTGTTTTTAAAAATAAATAAGTATCAGTATGTTGGATAATTTTTTTTTTTTTAAGTGGGTTTATTTTCCCAGAGCCTTCAACTTCTCCATGTATCCGGAGACCCATAGACTTAAGGACAGACAGGTGATTGGATTCGAACTCCCACTACTGGCTCCCTATGTTTGTTCATTGGGGCAGATTCCCACAGTTGTGTGGCTTTCCGTTTCTTCAAGTGTAAAATGTACTAAGTTGAATAGAATGCTAGAGGCTGTCCCAGAATGTTAGATGCTCAGTTAGCAGACCCGTTTGTGCAGCACTTTCAGTTTAAGAGTTTACACATCCTTTTTTGTTCCCCAGAAATACCCTGGTTGATCACCTGAAATGGGTAGCATTGCCCCATTTAAAAATATAATAAAACCACATAAATAAATAAACTCACTACCATCCAGTCAGTTCTGACTCAGGGACCCTCACTGGGTTTCCGAGGCTGTAAATCTTTATGGATGCTTAAGGAGCTCTGGTAGCATAGTGGCTAAAGCACTTGACTGCTAACCAGAAGGCTGGCGGTTCAAACCCACCAGCCACTCCTCGGAAGGAAGGCTGGG